CTCTCTCAGGATACTGGCATTTAGTAGGCAGAACCTGGATGTCCTGCAGTGCTTGGATAGTCCCTAGACAATGAAGAATTGTCCTACCAAAAGTGTCTACTTAGAATTATTTTAGGCTTAGTGGGCATAGTGGCTCTATAACTTCACTCATAGGTCTTAAGCCCTTTAAGACCTAAAATTTTGTACCCTAGTGGTGATCATTTATTTGCCTGCTCGGTTGTGCAGAAAGACCTACACAACCAGATGGATATCTGTTTTAAGTAAGCAGATTGTACAGTGTCTCCTTGACTAGTCATTCTTTCATCCTTAATCTATATTAGTTTTTTTTTAATTAAAAAACTTCTTTATTAAATAGTCAGTTATTCATTTTCTTCCTGCAAAGAGGCTATTTTCAGAAAATATTATCTATTCCTTTTTTAAAAAATAAAATTCACCCTAATGGTTTTTGATGTGTTGGAATAAATAATCACCAATTGTACCCCAGATTTTTGGAGCATTCTTCAACAGAGAAAATGCTTAGTTTTGTACCTGCGCTGCCTATGCCTCAGCCAGCTCTACTACAGCATATATATAAAGTCAATTTGAAACAAACTTGATATAAACTATATTAGTTTTCAATCACTGGTTCATTATTTAACTACTAGGCATGGCAGTAAATAATTAGGTGTGCAAAAAAGACCTGTATTTTTCCAATTAGATAAGAAGTGGACATCTAGAATTGACCATTTTGAGTCCAGTTCTAGGCAGGAAGCTTTAGTGGCAGTCAACTGCTGGAGACCAGGATAAGAAATATTTTGTGAAAAGGAATCTTAGGTAATTGCTTGACTGCTAAAAATTGCTAGAAGTTCACTGTAGGTTACCTTCTGCACCGGGTTGTGATAGAACAATAGCAGCTAAGACAACACCCAATGATTTAAAAAAATTATTTCCTGCCCTGGCTGGTGTGGCAAGTCTCACAAACTGAAAGGTCACCAGTTCAGTTCCTGATCAGGGCAGGGCACGTGCCTTGGTTGTGGGCCAGGACTCCCATTGGGGGCCATGTGAAAAAGGCAACCAATCAATGTTTCTCTCCCTTCCCCTCTCTAAAAGTAAGTAAATAAAATCTTTAAAAAGAAAAAAATTATTTCTTTAGTGATGGTAAATTTCTTCCACAATTTACCTTTTAAAATATGATTATCCAGGGTTTTTTTAATTCTTTCACTTATTGATTGATTTTATAGAGGGAGGAAGGACTAGAGAAAGAAAAACACTGACCAGTTGCCTCCTGAGCCTGCAGCCCACGCATGCATGCTGACCAGGAACTGAGCCATCAACCTTTCCATTCACAGAACAACCCTTCAGCCACCTTAGCTACACATTATTCTAAACTTTAAGAATATCCAGCCTGGCCCTGGCTGGTGTAGCTCAGTGGATTGAACACGGGCCTGCGAACCAAAGGGTCACTGGTTCCATCCCAGTCAGGGCACATACCTGGGTTGCAGGCCAGTTCCCAGCAGGGGATGCACCAGAAGCAACCATACATTGATATTTCTCTCCTTCTCTCCTTCCCTTCCCTTCTAAAGATAAATAAATAAAAATTTTAAAAAAAAAGGATATCCAGCCTGTGGTGTCTTTAAGAATGTAATTATAATAGTGGAAAGGAGTTCTTGCCAAGTTAATTTTGAGTTATTTTAGAGCAAATGCATTTCTTTTATCTCAAGGCAGAAATTGAATTAACTGCCACACACAGTAGATATGTTCAACACATCCTTGTCTTTATAGAAATTATTAAAATTAGATCTTTTCATTTAATGAGTTTAAATAACCAGGCAAAGCATACTCTCAGGGATCCTTTTTTCCCCCCTCACCTGATTTGTTCACTGATTTTTAAAGAAAGAAAGAAAGAAAAACATTGATGTGAGAGTGAAACATTAATCACTCGCTTCTTATATGCACTCCAACCTGTGATGGAACCCACAACCTAGGTGTGTGCCCTGACTGGGAATCAAACCCACCTTTTGGGGCACAGTACCATACCCCAACCAATTGAGTGACCTGGCCAGGGCACTCGGGGATCTTTTTATATTTTATTTTATTATTTTATTTTTTTTATTTTTAGAGAGGAGAAGAGAGGAACAGAAACATCGATGTGCAAGAAAAACATTGATCTTTTGCTTCTTGCATGCCCCCAAATGGGGACCTGGCCTGCAACCCAGGCATATGTCCTGACTGGAATTGAACAAGCAACTTTGGTTCACAGACCAGTACTCAGTCCACTGAGTCACATCAGCCAGAGCTGTATCCTTTTTGTAATACTCAGACTGTGTACTCTCCCAAAGGAAGAAGAGAATAATCATCAGTGGCCAATAGTGGTTGCAAGAGTAACACCAAAAGCTGACTTCATGCTCAGGAGAGAACCTGTGCCCGCCTCCTCATGGTTTCAGGTGCTCTATGTTCAGAGAAACTTCTCTAGTAACAAGCTATAGACATGATCCCTGGAAGTATAGTCTTGAGAGTCAGGGATCTTAAGACAAACTGATTTATTAAGGTATTTGAGATTGCTTAGTTTTATATTAAATAGGTACCAATAATATTTATAGTATATGTGAATGTATAGAGAATAACAATAACTACCTGTGTACCCACCACTGAAGTATGGAGTTTTTTTGTAAAAATCTTTGGAAATTTGAAATCATCCTAAGTTTCTATAGCATACATAATTTCCCCTGCCCCCGATATCCCCACTTGAAAATAAATGATTCAGAGGTTTCTTCATGTTTCTGGAGTTTGGAAGATCATTAGTACCAACACTTAAGGATGAGGATGCTAGAAGAGGCCTTTTTTCCCCTTGAAAATCAATCTTTTGTGTAGAAAGAAATGTTCTTGCAGAAGGAAAAATTTGCGTGTGTGTTTATTGTAGGGACAGTGTTACTAATCAGGATCACTTTGATATGATTGCATTCACATCTAAACATTGTCCAGTTATCCACTTTCTTTCCCTTTTATGTTTTATAGGCCCATAACTCCCCAACTCTTGTATTATTTTCCTTCTTTAGCTCTCCTGCTAAGGCTGATGCCACTTGACTAGGTAGTTGAGAAATTGTGAAACACCTTGGAATCTCTGGCAGTTAGAATAAAGAAGTATAAAAAGAATGTCCAGGCAGGAACAATTTTGGAATCTTCAGTACTTGGAAATGATTCTTGAATTGGAAGAATCTGGGATAGTTATTACACATGTAGATGATTTAATTAATACAAAAATCTTGTAAGTTGCCAAAACCACTTTGGGTATAGGTCACTTTTAGATGTCTTAGGAGGACGATAAATATAATACAGGTACTTATGGGGGCTCTGTGAGAAAGTAGTTGGGGGTACCTGCCAATAATTAAGCTAGCAAATTCTGGAATGTTCATTTCTTGTGTTGAGGGTATTTTTAATAGAGATTATTTCCACATCAAGTTTTAATACTCATTCACTTTTGTTATACTTTCTGATATTTATTTTATTTAAATTATTTTAATTTGTTAGTAGTCTGTTGGCTTCACCCAAAAAACAGTAGCTGGTCACTCTGTGTTGCATCCTGTCAAGACCTGGCAGATCCACTCTAGATCTGAGGAGACAGAAGAAAATTTGTGGAGCCATGGGGGTGCTTGACATGTCTTTATTCACCGGTGGGCGAGCCATGCACACTGCAAGCTGTATGTCTCTCTCATGAGAAGCCCCCACTAGAGGCAAAAAAAGCCAGCTTCAAGCCAGAAAATTATATAAAATAGCATAATTCTGCACTTGTGAACCCATTGCATGTCATGGGAACAGTTTATCAGACCCAATCTCAAGGCTGTGAGAACAGTACTTATCAAGCCTATTTAAGGTTATGGGAACACTGCTTTCCTTAGTTACCCACACTCCTGGGTGAGGAAGCCAGACTAACTCCACTTACCCTACACACTCAATTAAGAGTCTTTTCAGGACCTACCCTAGTAGAAGTGAATTGAAAACCAAATTCTTAATAATCAGCAGCAGTAATCTTGCCAATTGAGATCTATGCTTTTGACTATCTAATAAACAGACCTTACTTATCCTTGTGTCCATTTTAAATTGAGTCATAATTCAGGAATAACACTAAATGATAAAATAAAGCTATATATTCTCTCTCTAAAAGTATTAAGAATATTTTCCTGTTTATATTGGATACTACAAGAAGAAAATGAGTCACTAGAATAAAATCAATTCACAAAGCTTATTTCATTTTAATTAGCACTTCATTTAAATAAATGTAGTAGATCCAACATCATGGCAGGGAACAACAAAAAGATATCAAGATATATCAAGATATCAAATTAATCAACAGACATATCTGGAATTTCTTCTCTTTTCCAGAAATGAGAATTTCTTCTCATTTCTTCTCTATTATAATAGGTATTAGCAAAAATGAATTAAACCTCAAGAAACTGGTAAGGTGGTCGTATACGTCAGTTAATAGAATGGGAATTAAATATGGGAAAGAGAGAAGTGGGCTGGAATCATTAGGAAATCCTTCTTGGAGAGAAGGGACTTGAGCTAAGCCCCTAGGATGGGTAATTTGGGTGATAAGGAGAGGAAGGGTAGGCGTTTTTACTTATAACCAGCATAGACTTAAATTAATAAATTTCATAATCTTTTATTTTACTTGCAGAGATGAGCGTAGAATGACCTAAAGAAAACTGGCAACTGCTTAAGAATTTGGGTTACATTTTAATGAGTTTGTTAATCAAAAGTTGTTCAGGATCTTTTTTTCTAAATTCTACCATGCTGCCCATTGGCATTCTAGTTTTAACACCAGGGTAGCATTTCACTGGCATGTTGTAATTTCCTCTAAACTCTTTCTTAATGTTGCTGGAAATATCCTACTAATTAGTAGAAGTGATCCTACTAATCACTCTCAGAATACTTTGATGATTTTATTAGAAGCAGAATAAGCATGGTAGTTGAGCAAGATGGCTTGAACTCTATTTGACTGTGTAACTCCCTTTTATTAAAAGGTGATGCTATGGAACCTTCAGAAAGCTCGGCCACTCTGGATTACCAATTTACAGGAGGATGAAACAGAAGAAATGAAGAGCCCACAATCATCCAGTCAGCTTTTAAACCCTGCTCTAGCTCATTCTGTGTCCGTGGCATCATGTGGCAATATTTTTAGTTGTGGTGCAGAAGATGGTAAGGTTCGAATCTTTAGGGTGATGGGAGTCAAGTGTGAACAAGAACTGGGATTTAAGGGCCACACTTTGGGGGTATCCCAGGTCTGCTTTCTGCCAGAATCTTATTTGCTGCTTACTGGAGGGAATGATGGGAAGATAATGTTGTGGGATATAAGCAGTGAACTTGAGAAAAAAAAGATAAGTCCTAAAAAACAGAAGAGTCCTACAAAACATTCCCACAGGAAGAACACTAAAAGAGCAACTTATACCAAGCAGGGTAAAAACAGTAATACCTCAGTAACAGGCGAAGAACAGGGCGAATTTTTACCAAAGCTAAGTATTGAACATGGAGAAAAAGTGAACTGGCTCTTGAGTACAAAAATAAAGGGTTACCAAAGTATATTAGTAGCTGATCAAACTAGTTGTATATCTGTATATCCCTTAAATGAATTTTAAGTCCAATAAAAAACATTTGAAAAACTGTGCTGAACTTTTTAGGTTTAAAAAAAATGCTGTTTCTTTGTTTAAACTGTCATATGTAGAATAATACTGTCCCATTTTATAAATTTTCAACATCTGAGCAAAAGAAGATAATTGGGTAATACTTCATAGTAAATGACATTAAATTTTAGGAAGAGGGAACTAACATTCCTTGAGTACTGAACATACACCATTGAGTTTACATATATTTCATTTTTTATTCCAAATCATTGATTTCCTCCTGTTTTATTGCCATAGGAATTGAAAGTTAGAGATGTTAAGTAACTTGGGAACTGAGGAAATTCACAAGTACAATTACTTGCCTGCAAAGAATCTCACGTATCTTGTCAAACCGCCTGCCTTAGGGACACCCACGCTGATCCAAATGTGGTCACTACGTTAGTTATAACATGAATTATTTCAGATCCTAAGATGCTGTGAGGAGCCTTACCAGGTTGGAAGAGGAAACCTGTTTTTGTTTGTTCTGTGTAAAGTTCAGAAGGTTTTGCTGACAGTTTACCTTTTGCTATTTCTAAGATGGTTTTAGGGTCAAATCAGTTTAGGATATTATGCAGCAATCCAGGCTATGATGTTGGTAGGACCAAAAATAATCTAAAGTCACAGATAAATTTAAGATATAAGATATAAAAGAGAATAGAAGAAGTAGAAAGTAGAGGTCAAGATAAGTGTGTCAATACTAAGTTTTGTTTTTGTTTTTTTCATAATTGTCTGGATTGCTGTCTTCCTTTGATGTTCTTTAGCTTCTGCTTATATATCCTACTCTTATATTCCAAGTGTTGAAGAGGGAATCTGAGTATCCTTGTTTGAGGAGAACTTTTTGATAAGTTCAGTTTTAGTCCGAACACTTGTTGCAAGTGACAGAAACCAAACTTGAATTTACTTAAGGGAATAAAATGGAATTTACTGAGTCACATACCTAAGAAGTCCAATGACAGTTGGCATGTACTGCTGGGGTAGCTAAGCTGATAAGATGTGAGTCTATAGGTGCCCTTCTTTGTGGATAGTCTTTCCTAGAAGTGAAGAGGTAAAATTCTCATAATAATTTTAAGCCTGGAAACAGTCATGCCTAAAACAAGTGTATTCCTGGAGCCTCTCCTTTTTTAACTAATTAATTAAATTTTTTTAGATTTTTAAAAAAGATTTTATTTATTTTTTGAGAGTGGAAGAGAGGAAGACAGACATCAATGTGTGGTTGCTTCTCGTGCGCACCCTACTGGGGACCTGGCCCACAACGCAGGCATGTGCCCTGACTAGGAATCCAACCAGGCACTCAATCCACTGAGCCGCACCAGCCAAGGCACTGGAGCCTCTTTTTTTTTTTTAAGCTTAAGTTATTTGAGGTAGATTTTTTAAACTTAAAACTAAAAGAATCCTGACCAATTAAATGGGCAATCAATAAATATTGTTTAGTGATCTCACTTGGAATTTGAGGTAAGGAGAATACCATCTTTGCCCTAAAAAAATTTATTGACAGAGGACCCTACCTTGAGCACTGCAGACACAAGATTCCAATCCCAAACCTAAGGCCATGCTGGGCCTTAGTTTCCTCACTTGAAAGTGAAGGGGTTAAATTAAGATACCTCCTAAGGGAATATGCCACAGTTTTATGAAATGAAAACATCTTTATAATATTGTGCATAGTCAATAATTATAGTATTTATTAAAATGTCAGGAAGGACTAATTATTGGTCAATCTCTGATGGCTTTAGAGGGATTTTCTCAAAAATTACTTATTTGCATCATTTTACCTATCGAGCCTGAATAATTTTGTGTGAGCAAGATATGATGTAATATTTAGGCCAGATTGAAACAGTCTTAAATATCTTTTGGTTGTTGATGACAAATACCCACCCAGACTGCCTAAGCAAAAAGGAAAATTTACTATCAGGACATGGGTGGGGGAGCAGAATTCTCTCTCTCTAATTCTCACCCAAGTATGTTTATTGATTTTAGAGAGGAAGGGAGAAACATCAGTTGTCTCTGCTTCTTTCTACATAATGGCCTTCACTTCACAAAAGATGCCTTGCAGAATTCCATTCCAATTCCAGAAACCAAGTGATTTGTCTCTATGTTCCAGTTCTCCTAAGAGAATTTGATTGGTCCAACTTAGTCAAGTGCCTGTCTGACCCTATATGGTGGGGGTGGCTATTGTTGCTTATTATTAACATTGTCAAAGGGACATATCCCAATTGGTGCGAGGTAGTTCTCAGAGAAGGGGAGCATGGATTGAACCAATAATTTCAGAAGATCTATAACCAGTGATATTTTGGTACATTTACAGTGTGAAAATTATATGCAAAATTAACCATTCTCAGGTCAGTTGTTTTGCTGCAGCTTGACTCAACTTGCAAGCAACAGGGACATGCCCAAGTTACTTTAGTTAATGAGAGTTTGAGAAAACATAAAAGTAGGGAAGTAAGCAAAAGAAAGCACCACAGCCTAGGCTTGTAGAGAAATGAGATATTATTATGAGTGTATTTTAGCTCTAGTAGTCAGCCAGCCATTCAGACAACAAATAAGAACTTAAGTGGTCACCCATCTGAAGTAGGCTTCTGATGTCCCCCATCTATAGTAGGCTGAAAGTGTCCTTCAAAGATAGCAGGTCCTAATCCCTGGCACCTGTGTATGTTACTTTATTTGGTAAAAGGATCTTTGCCAATATAATTTAAGTTACAAATTGTAAAGGGATGTGTTAAAGGAACATAATCATAGTAATTATACTTGTCTTTCTATTTTTATTAGAGTGTAAGATGCTTTGGGACAGTGTTTTTGCCCTACTTCGTTTCCAAAATTATGATCTTATCTGTCCCAGACCCCCCAACTTACACAAACAATACTCATTAAATATTAAAAAATGAATCAAGGGAGACCCACAGGGTGCAAATGTTAAGATTAGATGTGGATAGAAAAAAGTAATGAAGGTCAACCTGAAGGAAACTGGTGGCAGGATTTCCTGGCAACCAGACTGAACCTGTTGCTTATGCTTCAGCTTATTTTTATCACCAGAAGTCAGAGTTACACTTAGCTCTCCCAACCAATGTTAAATTTACATACACCCAGACATGCTCATTTCACATTTAATGTTCCCTCCAAATTACTATCATTTTGTGTTTCATCATGGACAATCCTGAGGCTGATGCAGTGCTGCCCAGTTGCTTCTCCCTGCCAAGAGCAGAAATACCTTCTAGATTAATCAGTCATCCTCTGGCAGAATTATGTATAATCCTTGTGCTTTAACCTATGAACAGCTCTTCCTTGACCTCAGTTTTCCTATTTATAGGCAGAGAATTATAGGAAAACAGTAATATATGGCACATATGATTTGCATGTGTGTATGTGTATTGTGTGAACTACTTAAAAGTGAAATTCCATGACATTTGGTGTCAAACTATATTAGTATGCATCTCCTAAAAAAGATACACTCCAGTATAACCATAATACTGATAATCATATCTAAGAAACTTAATAATTAACATTCTTGCTCTTGACCAGCCAACTGTGACTTAATATCATCCTTATTGCACTAGTGTCATGGTAGAAGCTAGAACTGCAAAAGACAGGCCTTTCAGCCATGAGCAAAGCTTATGGAGGTGAAAATCTGGGGCTAAGCAGGACCTTGTAGCTCAGTCTGAAATCTTGCTACAGAGAGTCTCCTTTTGTAGCCAACTGTCTTCCTGTGGGGAGTTCCCAGAGGGAAACAGCCCCTTCCACTACGCTAAGGTTAATTTTAAAGTAGGGACATTGTAGAAGAGTAAACAAGGTTCCCTGCTATCACCACCACTACATGGGCCATATTCCAAACAGAGGAGCAGAATTTAATCTAGGCCCAGGAAAGGATGTGGGAGAAATTCAGAACAACTCAACACCTGGAGAGCCTCTACTATGTCCTGGAATTCTTGGTGGAAGAAAGGTCTGGGCTAAGGTTTAATAGAGCCTCCATCCGCTCCTCTTTTCTATAGCCATAGAAACTGTTTGGGAGAAGTGACAAAATCACTTGGGCGTGACTTCCTGTAATCATTCTAGCCAATTAATGAAGAAACATCCAGAGCATGCAGTGATCAAGTAAAAACAAGTTCTATTAACAAGTCACAGGGAGGTAGTGACCTAAAAATTGAGCAATAAATAAATAAGTAAATGTTGAGTACATCTTTGAAAGTTTATTTAGCTACTGTGTTTAAACTTAGAATTTCTACAAAGTAACTCACCAAATGTGATATATTATGAATGAAATATAATAAGAATATTTATAAGAATTGTATGCCCTCTGAGTCCAGATTCAACAAAATCTGCATCTACTTTTCAAAGCAGAATTTACTCATAACAATTTGTTGTGCTCTCAGGAGTTTAATTATTGAATTCATTAAGTATTATATCTGGGATGGACAAGATTGTTTATTGTGTTACAAGCCAATGTGTGGTTATATGTCAATATTAAAAATTATTAAGAGCTCTGGCCAGGCAGCTCAGTTGCTTAGAACATCGTCCCCATATGCCAAGGTTGCAGGTTCCATCTCCGCTCCGGGCACATACAAGAAACCACCCAATGAGTGCATAAATAAGTGGAACAACAAATCAGTGTTTCTCCCACACCCTTTCTTTCTTTAAAATCAATTAATAAATCTTCATTAAGATATAAAAGACAACTGAGAAACTTGGATGTAATCAATGAATTCAGTAAAGTTTCAGGATATAAAATCAATACACATGTCAGTTGCCTTTCTATACACTAACAAACATCTGGAAAAAATAAACCTATTCCATTCACACTAAAATCAAGAACAATAAAAATACCTAAAATAAATTTAACCAATGAGGTGAAAGATCTGTATGATGAAAACTCTAAGACTTTGCTGAAAGAAAATAAGAAAAACAAAAAACAAATGGAAGGCGTTCCATGTTCATGGATTGGAAGAGTTAATATTGTTAAAATTTTCATGTCATCCAAAGCTGTCTAGATTCAACACAATCCGTACCAAATT